GAGAGAGAGAGAGAGAGAGAGAGAGAGAGAGAGAGAGAGAGAGAGAGAGAGAGAGAGAGAGAGAGAGAGAGATCCGGACCCCCACACCTTCGATGGCGATGGGGAGAGGGTTCGGCGTTTCGCAAACGCGGGATCCAGTTAGTAATGTGGCGATGACACCCTTCCACTTCTTAAACGACTGGTCTCGTGGGTGGTGCGCATACAATATCTGTGATAGTACGATGCGCAAGCCCAGTGGACCAAGGAGGGAGGGTCCAGCGTTTCTCACTCAACTTTGTGCACCAAGGAATGCCAGCCCTGGAACGGTCACATGCGAGGGACTGCTGTTAGGGGCTGCAGTTGGTGATGTGGTGATGATACCCTGCCCCTTCTTAAAGGACTGGTCTCGTGGGTGGTGCGCAGGCAGTATTAGTGATAGTACGATGCGCTAGCGCAGGGGAGTTTGTGTGCAGAGGTTGTATAACCCGCTCCGCTCCGCGCCCTCATGGGGTCCAGAGTTTGCGAAACGCCGGACCCTCTCCTCCTTCGCCACATGTAGGGGATCAAGTTGGTGATATGGCGATGACAGTTGTCTGTTTGTTCGGTCGGTCTTTGCGTATGTTTTGCCCGTCCAGGAAGGAAACCGAGGACTTCAGGAGATGAGGAGAAGAGGATCAACAACATGTCAAAACTCTACCGTGATAAGCATTGGGCTATTGACTGGGTGGGTGGCACCCATGAGGCCGGATGTGGCGCTTTAGTTTTCTTGACTGAAGACGGAGGTCTGAATTGGTACTGTTGTGGTGGCATCATGAAGTCCAAGGGCGATAAGGCGACGACGAAGAAGGGGAAGGTTGACGACAGAGAATTGAGGAAATTCCATCTCACTTCCGTTTACGATGAACAGGGCACCGACTGGGTCGATGCCGACAAGAAAGTCAGCCTCACCCTAGCCCTATTCAAAGGGTACGGTCAGAGGGCGTTCGGTATGAAACCTTTCGAAGCGAAGGGCGGTGGAACTGAGGTTCGGATGGTTCATCCGGTGGATTTCCTTAACAAAACAAACAGCTATAGAAAAAGTGGTCAGTACCCGAAGGTGGACGCCGGTTATCAGTCCACAGGACCGCTTGTCCCGTACGACACTCCGGTCCAGGGTATCGCTGGCATTTTGAAGTCTTGTGGGGAAGCACGCCAAGTGCCTTCAACTTCTCAGCAACATTCAGACATTGCTCAGAAGGTAATTACGTACTCCAGGCAGTCGGGGCCAGGTTCATCGGATAAGGCTGCGAAGAGGAAACAACTCGCCACAACTCCACCGCAACTACAAGGACCTGCTGCAACTGCTGGCACTTCACGCTCGCGGCAGACGGATCTTCAAGTCGTCGACCAACGGTCTGAGGAGCAAACGGAAACTGAGGAGGATGTTGAGTTTCGCGGACGGGACGTGGGGTCCTTGGAGGACTCACGACACGGGGGCGTCGGAGGAGACAGCGAAGGGAACGTGGAACTCGAACAACGTCCTGGTGGCAGTGGGCGATGTGATGACTGTTCGGATGAGGAACACAATGACAGGGAACAAAGTGAAATGGGTGCGTCGAGTGGTGGGCCACACAATGACATGGAACAAAGTGAACGAATGCAGAATGAGGATGAGCAGGACGATGGAGGGGATGGTGATGTAGAAACGGGTGGGGCTTGGAAGAGTAGGGGTAAGAGGAAAGCAAATGCATCCCTAACACCAGCAGCAATGAAGAAACGAGCCATAAAAGAAGTTGTGGATGATGCTCGATGTGCCTTGGATGCATCACAGGAAACGCTTGGCGAAGCCACCAAGAAACGTAAAGAAGGCAGCCGTTTTCGCAAAACATCGCAACCTAAGAGGGCTGCATGCTCAGGTTTCCCAAGTCAGATGATTCAAGCGACGACGCTGAAGGGGTGGGCCCTCGTCGGCCTGACCTCATTGCCGAGGACGAAACGGAAACGAAGAAGCCCCGTGCGGTCGACATGACACGGTGCTTCTTTCTCGAGTACGATGAAGATGGCAGGAAAAGAAAAGACGTGCCAAGGGTTTGCATAGATGTCATGTCGATTCTTCCGATTCCCAAGGGGAATATCGAATTCAACCAGCGGTCGCTGAACAAGGCAATTGTTGCAGGTCTCGATGCATTGATTGATAGGTCCACTGCTCAAAGGGGTGTAGATGATGATGGTTCGTGGGAACCGTCGAAGTTGATACTCGCTCCAATTACGCCTTGTGCGAATGACCCCAATGTCCAAGGAACACGTGTTCTTCCAGAGGACTTTGATTGGAGGCGTGCGAAGGAATACTTCTATTACCCGGTTGCTGGGCAGCACACCGCAGAGACCATGAAAAGAGCGGTACGTCGGGGATCTTTCCTGCTGTTGTGCCATTTACGGTTTGCACGATTATGATCGCGTGCGCGTTGTTTACTTTGACGACGATCACAAACACGGGTATTCGGTTGTTTCGACATACGACAACACGAGAGGTGACCGTGCCATGTTACCATCGTTCCACCAGGCGTGTGAAGACATAAGAGGTTTTTGGCGGTTGAAGAATTACATCGAGCCTGTGGGTTTCAAGGTAGTTGAAAACGACATCAACGGTAAAATGCACCAGGAGATGTGGCGGGAATTCATGAGGGTTTGCATGACCCGGTCATGTGAAAAAAACCTTTGGACTGAGGCCTTGCATCCGAAGTGGCAGCCCGACTGGTCGAACCGGATGAGAGGATACATGAACGTGGCGACGTGTAAGAGGTGGATATGGTCATTGGTGAAAGAGTTTTTTAGAAGTTCGAAGCAGGAGAGTTGCCACTTTACGATGGCAGGTGCCCTAGAGATATGTCGGGGAGGCAAGAGGGGAAGCTTCGGGGGCAATATACGGAAGAAGTCAATGGGAAAAAGGAGGTGTTCCATTGCATCGCGGTTAAGGACGGGGGGCATGGAGCCACCGTCACCTTCAAAGATCTCGTTCCATCAAACTTCAAATGCTTTGGAGATATGACGGCGAGAGAGAAGGAGGTCGCATGGAGGTTGGTGATCAACAAGAAGGTCATAGCCACCGCTAGACAGGTTCCTACGGGGAAGTTGAACATGAATAACCTCCTCGACATTATCATGTGAGAGAGGTACATGATGCGTCTCTTCAACTACATCATGTTCAAATCGGAGAACAGAGAGAAGGACGAATGGAACCAAGAGTTCTTCTTCGATTACAAGGGCGTGACAGAGAGGTACGGTGTCACAGCGGAAGCATGGGACGAGGAAAGGGATAGAATCCCTTTGGAGTACGTTAGGAAGGTTCCAAAATGACTTGGTGGCGACCAAGAAATGAAAGGCCTGAAAGGAGCAGGGTTGAAGGCCACAGAGGCATTGTATAAAGATGCACCATTTCATTTTAAGGTCTTCGTGTACCAGGCGATAGGAAAAGTGGATTTGCTCACGACAGAGATGCGGCGATTATCAAATGCTGCGCTTCACCTGTTGTGGGAAGGTAAAGGGCGACGAGCAACATTGCTACCGATTAATATGCACCCAAAGGAGCTGCTACCTGCGCAAGACGAAGTCGTTACCGCTGCCACAAAACTTAATTGCAAGGCCACCATCTTGGATCTCGCATTACCGTCGAATTGCTCTGCGTGGTCGCCGGAGGACTTCGACGCCTATACAAAATGATGTCAAAATTGTGCGGCAAAGATCGGACATTGATCGTCTTCGCGCCCCAGAAACATCACAAGACCGTCATGCGACACCTCTACAATTGGGAGAACGTTGAGGTGATACTAGGCACTTGGAAGCGCTTTATGGGGGTCGGAACGGCTGTCAATAAATATGGGAATATGCAAATTGAGAGTAAGGACACGATGGCGATCGTCCTGCATGCCGAGGGAGGCGACCTAAGAAAGGTTACAAGAGTGTCGCGCTCAAAAGCGGACATTGTGGAAGTAAACGTTGTGGAACAATTTTTTAAGAGGTGTGCAGCGAAGCATGGCGGCGATGAAGGCAGTGAAAAAGAGGAGTATGGGCGTTGGGAACGAGAGCCGCAACGGCTACAAACCTTATGCAACTCATTTCTGCATGAGGACGAAGGGGTTATAGTCCTTGGGAAGCCACATGTTGGCCTTGTGTGGGAGTTTTTGCGCGCGGGGAACCATGTATTTGCGTGCGATGCATCGTCGAAAGACATCGCATATTTGACAAAGGCCATCAAAATACTCGCCAAGGATCCTCGAAACGATTGCACCATCGAGAAACATAAAAGCACACAACGCTCGGACAGGGACATGTATCACAAGTTGGGGAAGAAGAGAGAAAAAATGTGGGAGTACTTGTTCCAAGGCGACCCCAAGACTGCATTCCATCACGAGTACATCTATCGTAAAGCGATGGCACAAAAAGCATATGGTGGTTACCACAAGGCAGAGGTGGGGGCATTCTCGTTGTTTGTGGCGCGATGCGAAGAGCTAAAGTTCATGAGACATTGCAGCAAGTTGACGTACAGCGACTACAGTGACGTCGCACGTAGAACAGATGCGTGGAATCCGATTGACAACGATGAAGAGACTGAGACCTCGGACCTTGAAATCGACCTACGGGTTAAGCGTTCTCGAGATGGTGCACATGGTCGTAAGGGAATGCAAAATATTCCGGATGGCAGCGTGCAAAACGAGAACCCTGAAGGAGGTCTGCAGCAATCCGGACCACTGAGCACTCATGTGGTTGACACGCAGGACAGGGCAAGTTCCGCTGGTGAATTCCCAAGGGATTCACCGACACCCGTTCAAGCCGTAATGAACGCCCTGCCTCACGGCAATCGCTACCGATATCAAGGAGAGAAGAGGTCCATCGGATGAATGTCTGGAGGGATGAGGATGAACGACGTGAGGGAAGACGCCGACGAGGATGACTTGGTTGTTCCAGGTGTCTTCCCGAAGTTGACGCTCGGTGATGATATTCCAGAAAGCTTCATGCAGGGCTCCACCTCGCCCTATGTATTTCATGACGTGGGGGAAGAAACGTCGTCAGAGAAGTGGGGGCATCACATACTGTGGCACCCAAATGTGTTCGAACCATGCATTGACGCGGGGAAGTGGGCAATGGCACTGCATCTGAGGGATGGCTGGAAAGTCAATTACAGGATGGCAGAATATTCATGGTTGAAAACCACAAACGGTGAAATCCTATTACGCGTTACGAAGGAAAACCATGGTGTCAATGAAGACCTTATATGCACGAAGGCCCAATCGTTGTTTGAGTCTCTACGCTCGAACAATCGCTTGGAGTACAAGCATCAGTTTTACGACTTTCCATCAAGCCGGTCGTATAACAAAATCGACAAACGGTGAAATTCTATTACGCGTTACGAAGGAAAACCATGGTGTCAATGAAGACCTTATATGCACGAAGGCCCAATCGTTGTTTGAGTCTCTACGCTCCAACAATCGCTTGGAGTACAAGCATCAGTTTTACGACTTTCCATCAAGCCGGTCGTATAACAAAATCGACTGGAAATACGTACAGCCTCCCACATGCCACAGGCTCGATGCCATTCCTGTTGGATGTTCGCAGCTTGCGGCAATGTCGCAGACTAACTTTGCAGTGAGTGCAAAAGAAGCGCTGAGTCAAACGAGTGTCGCAGCAATTGACACAGAGAAGGGAAACACCCTTCTTCAAGGAGATGGAGAGCAGACGACTACGGGGGTTAAGGGAGCTCCGGCGTCTCAGGCGGTCGAACAAAAATCAAACGTTGCATCATACGGGTCTCCGCTTCTGACGCAGTTGGGAAACGAAGGGGCATCGCAAATGGAGAGTCTCACTCCTTCAGTGGAGGATGTGGTTGCGAAGGCGATGCAACCAGGTGTGTGTACAAAACTTGCAGCCGAGGCGAAAGAAAACGCAGACGAGATGATGAAACTGTTGAATGATGTGGAGAGGGAAGAGAAGAATAAACTCGAAAGGTCCAACACATCGGCCAATGTGATTAATTGCGTTTCCGAGAGCGAGGAAGGGCAAGTTGCACATGCAGAGGGGGATGCTGGCGGTGAAGATGTCGGGGAAGATAACAAGGAGCAGAACGAAGGGGACGAAGGAGAGAGACTCGTTAAACGTTCGACAAGAGAAAAGACAAAAACACAAAGGATGAATATTTAGAGACATGAACATGGGTAGTGTGTGTATGTGTGTGTGTGTGTGTGTGTGTGTGTGTGTATCTGTATGTGCGTGTGCGTGTGTGCGTGTGATGGCAGTTGTGTGTAGATATGTATGCAAGTGAAGTGGAGTGTCTATGTGTATATGTGTGTAGATAGAGTGACTACACGCCATTGATATGAACAATATGAATGACATAAAATGTTATGCAAAGTTTTGAGAGGATTGAGGAATAAAATGTTAATCGTAATATGTGGCATCATCTCTCTCTCTCTCTCTCTCTCTCTCTCTCTCTCTCTCTCTCTCTCTCTCTCTC